AATGTATGTACATATGAAACCCTGTGCATAGAGATTGCAGAAATTATTCCTAATTCCCTCAACCTGGAAACAATAACAATGCCCTACATTTCATGAGTGGGTAAGATGTAAGCCTATCTTGAAAATTGAAAATTCTTGAGCACTAAAATGTAATGGCCATTTGAGAGATGCAAATGAAAACAATGCTGAGATTCTACCTCATTCCAGAAAGAATGGCTGCTATCAAGAAATCTGTCCATAACAAGTGCTGGTGGGTTGTGAGGAAAAAAAGAACCCTTCTCCATTGTTGGTGGGAGTGCAGACTGCTGCAACCACTGTGGAAATCAGTGTGGAGACTCCTCAAAAACCTAGGAGTAGAAGTCCCATTTGGCCCAGATATTGCCCTGCTAGGTATCTTCCCAAAAGAATTAAAAGCATCCCACCACAGCAATATATGCACACCCATGTTTATAGCGGCAGAGTATTTAATAGCTAAATTTTGGAAACAACCCAAATGCTTGTCAACTGGTGACTGGATAAAGAAGATGTGTGTGTGTTTTTTTTAATATAGTACTACTCAGCCATAAACAATGATAAACTAGAGAAATTTATAGTTAAATGGATGTGTGTCGAGGCTATACTTTTAAGTGAAATTAATAGTACACATGTGGGCCAGGGATTTAGCCTGCCTTGTAAGCACAAGATCCCAAATTCAATCCCAGGTACAATAATAATAATAATAATAATAATAATAATAATAATAATAATAATAATAATAATACACAAGTGTGTAGATATTGAATCGTCTCTCTGAAAATGTAAACTTTCAGAAATGAGGACCAAAGTGTAAGGAGAAGGGAAAGGGGAGGAAGAAGGGAAAGAAAATATGAGAAAAGAAAAAAACCCTAGAAACAAAGCTTTTATAAATAGCAAGGAGTGGAGCGGTTGAAAGCAGGGCAAGGGAATGGTTAAAAGCAAAGACTAAGATATATCAAGCACAGGTACAAATTCCCAACAATGAATATGATCATAATATATACCTAAAATGTAACAAGAAAATTAATAAAAAAAGAAATTAACTATCAAGGTAAGAAGAAACACAGAAGACATCTGAGTGCATGTTGTTACATTAAGGAAGCCAATCTGAAAAGACTACATACCTATGATGACAGTTACGTGACATCTGAAAAAAGATGCAACTATTTAGACAGTCATATGGTTAAGGGTTAACCATATGTTTTGGAGACCACAGGGAAAAGTGAATAGCTGAAGTAAGGGATAATTTCAGGATAATAAAAATATTCTGTATGATACTGTAATTCTGTGGATGTGGTAGTATGCAATTTCAGTTCCACAGAATGTGGAATGGAATGTAAACATTCAGCTAATCATAACGCATCACTATTGGATCGTAATGTAATACATGTTCCACAGTTATGCTGATAAGAGAGGAAAGTGGAGGTGGAGAATATATGGGAATTTCCTTTACTTTCTGATCACATGTCTTGCATATCCGAAACCAATGAGTAGTATGTACTTTTTTTCAAGAGCAAATGGTTATGAGAATTCTGCCATGTTCAGCTGTTCTCAGGGGACAGCATGCCTTGTTGGTCAGATTAACTTCCCCTATTTTCATGGTCCTTACAAAAACTTCATTCTTGTATATTCTACCTCATGAAAGTACGTACACATCTTAATACTGGAACGTGGTGAATTTTCAGAGATAAAATACTTCTTAATCACAATTTGATTCAAAAATCACATGGCACTCATCTGAGTTTTGCTCTTATAGCTTACGTAAAAGAGCCTCTAAACTCTTATGTATTAAGAATTTGATTTCCAAAGCAGCAATATTTGAGGAGAGCCCTAATTAGAGATAATTAGATCAATGGACTGAAACTGAAACAAAATAAATCCTTTTTCTTTTGAGCTATGCATGTCAATATTTTGTTCCAATTACAGAAAATGAATATATTTTCCATTACTCCTGTTTCCATTTTGTAGTAGCCCTTAATAACATCTTTTCTGATTTTGAAGGCCGTGGATTTTATTTTTGCTAACTTTTGAAGCTAACCCAAATAGATCCAAACAAATAGGCTTTTTTGGTCTATTTTTAAAAGATTCATAAATTTTCCTATTTGTGTCTCTTCTGCTGTATGTGTACAACTTCAATAGAAAGCATAACAGAATTTATTTAACCTATTCTTGCAGATGATTTTTATTTCTGACTTTTAATGATCATGAATACTGTGGTCAAAATCTTTTACATTATGTCCTGCCATGCAAATGTAGGTATCTAAGGCAGTCATTGCTATAATAACATTGCATTTAAAAATTGATGTCTTTGTAGATAAGGAGGGGTAGAGGGGTGGAGAGGTTGAAAGGAGGGCAGGGGAATGGGGAAAAAATAAGAACCAAGATGGATTATGGAAAGGTACAAATTTCCAATGATGAATGTCACTACATTGTGCACCTTAAAGGTACCAATAAAATTAATTGAAAAAACAAAACCAACCAACAAACAAAATCACAATTTACCACATCAAAATTTAAAATTTTTGTGTTCCTGTTTCAATTAAAATTATATAAAATGACTCCTCAAATCTCAATGACAAATAACTTTAATTTTTTTTCATGTGATTTTGGGCTGACCAGGATTAGGTTAATGCTATCTGGGTCTTGCTGACGTGTAGATGGATCTCAGTTTTCTACAGGGAACTCATATCGTCCATAGAGTGGGGGTTCAGTAAGGCGACTTCTCTATGTGAAACTTGTAAAAACAGCAGAGAAATCACAGGTACGCAGGCAAAAATCTCCTTTACAAGAATGTGTGCCGGCCCTCAATATTGTGGTTTGAATGTAGAACGTCCCACAGAAGTCTCCCTAATTCAGAGGTGGAGCTTTGGGAAGATGACTGGATCGTGAGAGCTCTGTATGTGGCAGTGAAGGAATCCACTGACGCATTCGTGCCTCAGTGCGCTGTTAGGCAGTAGGACCTGGCCGGAAGAGTCGCGTCACTCACAGCATGCCTTTGGAGGGAGGGTGCGTGCGCTTTCCTGGGTCCTCCTTCCTCTCACTGTTTCCTGGCTGCCACTGGGCTTACTGCTTTCCTCGGCCACGTCCCCCACCATGCTGTTTCTTACTCATAGTCAGCTGAGCAGGGACAGAATTCTCTGAACCGCGAGGGAACTGAAACCTCTACTCTGTTGTGTGTGTTGAGTACATTTCGTCCAGCAACGAGAAAGCCGACAGTTCAAATCCCAGGCTGACCCCAAAGACGCGAGGCGCTGATGTACAACTCTGACCCCGGGGAGCTAAGAATCACGGACGCTGGTAACCATCCTTACAGGGGAAGGGAAATATAACCCTGCCCTAGTGGTGAGCGAGGGAAGCATAATTTCTGTTGAATAACCAAAACCCAGAAGAACACAAACTATTGTCCACTATTTGTTTTGGTAAACAATGTTTTATGGTAAGACATTGAGGCTCATTCATTTATATGTGGACTGTAGCTGTTTTCGACACCACAATGGCTGCACTGAAAAATCCAACATATTGACTAGGCGGCTCTGCGCAGAATGTTGCTTGCCCCAGACTGGTGATCTATGAGTACAGGCATTTTTGGGGTACATCTCTACAGCCAGTAATGCTACAGCAGAGTCCACTGATTTTTTTCATGTTCAGCTTTCTACCTCCAGTTGTTCCAGTACTCACTGAACTTCTACATTTTCTGCCTTTTATGCTTACACTATTTTAATAGTCAGTTACAATATACACTGTTCTTTCTTTTTACTAATAAGTTTAAAGCCTTAAATCTAGATTCTTTTGTATTCAGGTTTTTATGATGTTCTTATTTATAACTCATTTATGTATATTAAAATATCAAAAGTAAATAGTTTTATATTATACAATTAAATTTCATTTCTATTTTAAATAATTATTTTTGAATGTCCATATTTTTGTGTCAATTACTTTTATTTTGCTTACATATATTGTAAGAGTGTAATTTAAAAATAAATGTTTTCACTATTTGTCTAGAAATTTTATTTTCTTTTCTTTAAGATAAAGTTTTATATTTAATATATTTATTTGTTATATAATATGGGCAGTTGAACGTGCATAAGTCAGACGTGTTTGTAGGTCCAAAAATGTTAGTCTTATCCACCTTTAACAAGAAGGTTTGTGCAATGCGTATCGCTTTGTGCTTTCTGGCAGTCCCCTTCCCATCACCACTGCTTCTTCTCTTGCTCGGGACATCCTGGACTACGGTTGAGCCCTGTACTACTGTGCGCTATAGCACTGTGCAGTGAGCACACAGCAGCACAACTATGGCAAAGTGAACTACTCCCACCATTTGTGTGCATCTACAAATGTTCATAACGTCAGGTCCATTCCTATCTGTGAAAGCTGGCAACCTGAATGTTTGTAAGTCGTGGACTCACTGTGTAAAAACAGATTTGTGTAATCTTTGGGAATGAATTTATACTCTTACCCATTCAGCAGTTTAGATGCCTAATTGTGGCAAATGAGACTCCTCTCACCTCCACATGTCCTCCTAAGTTCCTCTATCTTTTCTTCTTTCCTTCTTTCCATAACACCCCACCACACACTTGTGACTAATTGCTTACAAATACACAAACGTATAAGCAAAATTCATAATGTAGTCAAACAGTAAAAAAGAAAAATTTCCAATGAAATATAGTTTATTAAATACATATTATGCAAAACTTGAAAGTCAAATTTCATCACATTTTACATAACATTTTTTTGAGGTGGGTGCTGGGGATTGAACTCAGGTCCTTGCGCTTGCGAGGCAGGCGCCAGAACCACTGAGCTAAATACCCAGCCCTTACATAACATTTTAATCAATGCTGATGAATCAAAATGACATGCTGAATCTTACTTTTTAGATAGTTGTTTGATGTTTCTGAAGATGTTTGACAATTTATCAGCGAAAACATTGTGGATAACTCCAGTGAAACAGGATTATAGCTAATAGGCTAAGAAGCTAGGGAAATTCCTCAGTAGAAGCCAGAGGACCAGTATCTTCTATAGCACAGAGGGTGGCCGTAGCCATAGCCATGATAGCTGCCATAACCATAGCCACCGTAGCAACCATAGCCACCATAGCCATAGCCACAGCCTAGGCCACCATAGCCATAGCCCAGGCCACCATAATAGTTTCCATAGTAGCTCATGGTGTCAGGAGTGGACTGTTCTGTTAAGGATCAGGAAGTAGGTGTCTTGTGTCTGGATGTCACTGTCTGCCATGTGCCTTTTATACCTCCATGGTGATGGGCAGGGAAACCACAGGCATTGTAACATCATATTATCTCACTAATGTGGGTCAGACAACGTCATCCACATACTTATTTATTGGGAAAACACATCTTTCATAGTTGAGATAATTTTGTTCCTTTGTAAGGAACCCATCATATAATTATGGGCCTGTAAAATGAAACACTTATTCTATTTACAAAGCTCTGATTCCTCCTATATTTAGTGCATAGTGTACAATGGAGGGGACTGATTGCATGTTAAGTTGCAAATCACTTTTAAATTTTGTTTCCATTCCTCCAGAGATTTCTCTCTTTTTCTCCTCCCTCCCTCCCTTCTTCCTTCCTTTTATTTATTGACTCTTGCTCATGAGAAGTGAACTAGTTATTAGTTATTATTGATAAATCCGAGGCTCATTGCTATAAATGTGTACACAGTGGGCATTTATTCTGAATTTTTCCTTGATAAATGACTTCAAATGTCACATAAATTAAATGGAAATTTTAGGAACATAAATTCAGTATATTTTATGATTCTCCTTGTCACATACACAATGCATTGTGGATGTGATTGTGAAGCATGCCGTAGTTAAATTGGATGCTTCATCCTCAATCCTTCCTTGCTTTTTTTGTTTTTCTTAAATCAAGGTCTACTTTTGAATCTGGCTAAGGGTGAATGCATTGAAACATACTCTGTGGACAGAGGGACCAAAGGTATCGACATTGGTAACCATACTCAACGAGTAAGGAATGTCTAATGTTGAATGAATATCCTTATAATATAATGCTATATAATATCTTCAGGTGACATACTTAGGGTGACATATATTCCTTTCTATTAGTTTTTTGGTAAATAATATTTTATAGGGAAACATTCACAAACATTTGTTCACAGAAGTCCTGGGAATCCTTTGACATAATAATTGCAGAATTGATGTTGAAACACTGACCTGCAAAATTCACAATAATGACTATTATTACACATCTATATTATTGACTCTTTGTTGTTGAAAGGGTTTGCTTCCGATGACTGAGGTGTAAGAACACTTATATTGTAATCAGGAATCAGTAATGCTGGGTCACTGAAGATGTATGATTTTTGCCAAATTTAGCTTTTAATTCTAATTGTTCCAATACCCACTAAACCTATATTTTCTGTCTTTTCCAGTCTGACTTCTGACAGTATTTTGCATTATACATTTTTCTTCTTTTCTATTAAACTTAATGCCTTAGAGCTTATGTTTGTGCACATTCTCTTTTATGATACACATATCATGTGTCTTATTTTCTGCATATAAAAATTTTAAGAGGAATTATCCTTATCTCATGTACATGATAAACATTTTTTTTAATTCATTCATTGATTTTTTTAACTCCCATGTTTTTGTCTGATTAATTTTTCTTCTTCCTAAAACTATCATTTATTGTGAATGATTAAAATATATATTTTAACTATTTTGCTTATAATTTTTTTACTTTTAATGTAACATTTTTATTATCAACATTTTAATTACATAGATGATTTTGATTGTTTGAATTTATAGTTTGATGTGTGTTCCTAATCTGTCCTTAACATAGCTTTACATTTTCTTGCTTCTTTTTTTTTTTTAATAGAGAAATCATACTGAAAGCCTTATTGTTTTTCTTCTTAGGTAGCATATTTGCTTTATGTGCCTAAAAGAGATTTTGAGAGAACATTTAATTTTCAGTTATTGATATATACCTATGTGTAATTTTAATTAGCATTCTACTTCTTGATAGAGAGTAGCTTTTAGTACTTGTGAAGAGAGGTCTTTCAATAGTTTTTATAAAAATATATAATATTTTTCTGCTAAAAATGATTTATTTTTCTTCCTTTACCAAATTACATGCATGTTTTTCCATATCTGAGATACAACTTGTCCTTTATATTCTGCTCATGTAATTTTTTTATTTTTTATTTTTATTTTTGGTACTGGGGATGGAACTTGAGTCCTTATGCTTGTGACGCAGGTGAACTAAATCCCTGGCCCATCATCCTTTATATTCTAGTTTTTCTTTTTTTTTTTCTTCAGTTGACTGTATCATATCAATATATGTTTCAGTAAAAACAATTTGCTTCATATAATTCAGTTCTTTTTTTCTCATTGAGTTCATTGGTTCTTTTTAGGTATACAGTACAGTTACATTCATCATCGAGATCTTGTACCTTTGCACAGTGTATCTTCTTTATTTTTTTCCCTGTTCCCGTCTGCCCTTTACCCTTCCACCCTTCCCTTTGGGTTTTTACATAATTTAGTAAAGTTAAGAAATTGTAAACATTTATCATTTGAAGAAAATTGGAGATAATTCCAGGAAAACAGGAAGCTACAAAGCTGCGGAAATTCCTCCGTAGAAGCCATAGGACCAGTATTTTCTACAGCCGCCATAGCCGCCATAGCCCAGGTCACCACAGTAGTTGCCATAGTAGCTCATGGTGTCAGGAGTGGACTCTTGTGCTGAGGATCAAGCAGTAGGTGTCTTGTGTCTGGATGTCACTGTCTGCCAAGGACCTTTTATACCTCTTTGGTTGAGGGTGGAGAAACCACGGGCAGAGCACCATCATCCATATTATCACATTAATGTGCTTTCTATCGCATTTTGTCACATGTCATCCATATCTTTATTTATTGCAAAAACAGCCCTATTGTGAAAACCAAGGCAATCTTGCTCCAATGTTAGGAATTCATGATATAATTATAAATATTTTAAATTAAATTATTACTGTTTTTATGGCTCCAGTTCATTCTATAGTTAATTATAATTGTATATATCATATAATATAATTCTATAGTTAATTGTGTGTAGATGACATGAGTACATGTTACTGCGCAAAGTGTGTTTTCCATTCCTCCACAGTGACTAGTTTTGCTTGCCTTTCTCCCCTCCTCCCCAATGTGATGTCAGTGGCAGTTTATTTCCTGACTGTTGAGCCTCAAGCTGAACGACCTAGTCACTGTTAACCATCATTGCTAACTTCTTGGTTAGTTACTATCATGTGTACACAGTGGACAATTACTATGAACTTATTCCTTAAGCGTGTTTTTAAACTTTCTAGAAATAATAGTCTATTTTATGAACAGAAACTCTGCTCTATGCTGGTCTTTGTCATTTCATCTCAACATATTGTAAATATGTTCCTAGGAAACTTAGGCCCTTTAGAGCTATGTGTTTTTGTGCACAAAATTTTGTGATATTCTTGTCATGTATCTCATTTTCTGCATATTAAAACCTCAAGGGAGATTATCATTGTCAAATGTACATCGTTAATATTTTTATTTTAATTAATTTCAGTATTTTTGAATCTCTGTGTTTTTTGGTCTCAGTTACTTTCCATCTTTCTAAATAAAGCTGTCATTAATGTGAATAACCACACAAAAAAAATTTGTTGCTATTTGCCTTTGAACCTTTCTTTTCTTTTCTTTTTTTTTTTTTCACTAGTAACATAGTTTATTGTAGAGTATTAGTTGTTCTCCCTCACTGGCATGTGACTGGGAGCTGTGCTTCGTGACCACAGCCAGCATTAAGTAAGAATATATTGCACCACATATATCACTTAGCCAGGAAAAGGTAAAAATCTAAAGTGCTGTTTCTATCGAATTTTGTACCACTTTTTTAAAAAATTTTATTGAGTTTATTGGTACATTTTATGTGTTTACTTTATTATGTGGGCAATTACATTTGTGTGAAATTTTAGACTGATGGCAATTCGCAGTCACGTCTCAAGATATCATTGCATTTCTTCCAGTTGTCTTTCTTTCTCTAGAGAAGCTTTACTGCCAGTCTTACTGTTTGTTTCTGTAGGTAACATATTTATTTTATCTACCACGATTAAGATTTCCCATTTGTACTTCGTTTTCAGGTTCTGAGTTATATATACGTGTAATTTTAATTGGGATTCTGCCTCCTGGCAGTGAAGTGCTTTTAGAATTTGTGGGTAGATTTCTTTCACCAATTTTGAAATAATTTTCTATTCAAAACTAGATTTGCCTTTTTTTGTTACCTACGTGAATGTTTTGTCCTTTCATAAAATCTGATCCAGTGTTTATATTTTCCTATTTTATCTTTCAATTTTTCTTTTTTTTAGGTCAGTATATAGTATCAATGTAAGTTCTAGATTAATTAATACACTATGTTGATTGAACTCTGCATAATATGATTCATTTTTTGAAGAACTAGAATTTAAATTTCATTTATGGTGAATTTTGCCCATTTCAATATTTATTTTGAGAATTTCCTTTATTATCTTTATTTGTCAATTATGTTGATTCTAAAATTTCTCGATTACAAGCGTCAATATATTGTTCTAATTTGTTAGCTTTCATTATGCTACTTCTTTTCCAGACTTTCACAGGGCTTCATACTCTCTACATTTTCATTAATGTTTAGGAGATCTAGAACAGTATTGGGTTTCATCACAGAGGAGTCTGTGGCTGCTCATGGGCTCCAAGTCCCTGTCTATTTTTCTGAGCTGGTTGCCGTGACCCTTGCTTGTCCTTTGGTTACTGTGCAGGCTAAATTTCAAAGCATCACCTGAGATCAGAAGTTTTCAGCAATCCTGGAGAGAATGAGAAGATCTATCCAAAAGAAAGAATGAAAATAAGAAATAATGGAAGAATGAGAGTACAAAAGAAAGAGAGAGGGAGGGAGGACAGGAAAGAGGAAGGAAGAGAAGGAAAGGAAAGGGAAGGGCAGGGAAAGGAGGGGAAGGAAGGAAGAGGGGGAGGGAGGGAGGGAGTTGATCGCCGTAACTCAAGTGAAGACTAATGTAGCATAAGGTCCTTCATAGGCATCTATCTATCTGTTTGAGGTCACACTATAGGAGATGCTCCCTTTTCAATTAAAGAAGTATTTTCTTAGCAAATTCTGAACTGTTTTTTTTTTCCTCATCCCCTTGAAATGGATATGATTTCTATTTTTTGAATGATCCCATTTTTTTCTTTTAGGAAACAGAGCCCTGCCATTTCAAAATGGGTAAAGTATCTCAGTGAGAAATTTTGCTGGCTGTTAAGCTCAGTATTTTACATAGTACATAGTGTACAGGATGGTATTATGTCTCCAACTGTGGATTGCTAGGCTTGAGGGGCTGCAGGGATATAACATTCTGCTGATTTTTACTTCTGCCGGCAGCCTTTTCCATGGCTTGTGGAAACAACGAAGTTGGAATTTCAATCAACTTATCAAAAATTTTTCCATGTTCACTAGATCTGTACCTTGAATTCTGACTTTCTTGCTGCATTTGATTTTATTTGATGGTGTCAGTTTGAGTTTCACAAAGGAACCAAATCTCTTTGAGGATTGAAGCAACTTTAATCTTGTGAAAATCCGTATTCATGAACAAATACATTAGATAAATTTCAAGGTACTGGGAAAAATTAAAATGTGACATTAATTTGTTAACAAACATCTTCTGATTTTGAAAAAAAAATATTCCTGCTATGGACAATAGGTAATTCTTTTCTAAAGAGTTAGAATAAATTGGTGTATTTTGAGCCACTATTGGGAACCACAAATACAAGCCATAAAGTCAGTACCATTGGTGACATTTAAAATATAATATCTGTTATGGTTTAGATTTTTAAAATGTCCCTCAAAGCAATCAAGCTCTCTGAGGCAGGGATTTTGAAATGTGACCATATCATGGATGTGCTGGACTCATCGGTGTATTTATCCATTCCTGTCACAGTAGCTATGTGTGTTAAGAGCTGGGGCCTGCGAAGGGCTGGTCATTGTGTGGCGTTGCTTGGGATGGCTCCATCTCCCTTCCTGGTTCCTCCTTTCCCTCTGCTTTGGCTGCATGACCTGGACAGAGTTCACTCTACCCAGGTTTTCCATTGTGCCATTTCAGCCTGGGAACCAGTCAACTCTATACGGACATATACCTCTCCTCCCCTATGTTGTGGGTATCAAGTGTTCGTCAAAGCTAGTACATAAGTGTGTACACATAACCAGTAATCATTCTCTAGGCAGGATCCTATTTTACATGAGAAACATTTTTCAGAGAGAGAGCTCCACCTGATAGAATCCCACCACGGGTATTGTAAATGCCACAAAGCACACAGATACACAAAAAGTATGAGTGAACTGATGTGAACATTGATGTTATTTTAGAAAAGGAGATGAATGCATAAAAAAATCAGAATTGAGAGAAAAGATATATAAAAACACATTTGTGTGATCAATGAGAAATAATTGATAATTTTACTTATTCTGATTACACACCTAATTTTCACTAGTTTCCTCTCTTTTTCTGTCTTAATATCTTTCTTGCCCCAAACACAACAAATACACGTGTGTCTAATCACACACAAACAACTGAACATATAACCGAAACTCATCATATAGTAGACATCAAGAGCAATAATTATGATGAAATGTAGTTTATTTAATAATCTGTTTATACAAAACTAATGTCTAATTACATTTTACATAGTATTATAGAAATAATATTAAAACTTTTCAATAACCTATTGCATCATTCCACAGTTACCGATGAATTAAAAAGACATGTTGAATTTTTTTGCTTTTTACATATTTCAGTATGTTGTTGCTGTTTTGAAGATATTAAAAATTTATCACATGAAGAAAATTGGAGACAATTCCAGTAAATCAGAAGGTTATACCAATAGGCTAGGAGGCTGTGGAAATTCCTCAGTAGAAGCCATAGGACCAGTATCTTCTACAGTACAGGGGGTGGCGACAGCCATAACCATAGCCACCATAGCCACCATAGCCTCCACAGCCTAGGCCACCATAGCCACAGCCCAGGCCACCATAGTAGTTGCAGTAGTAGCGCATGATGTCAGGAGTGGACTGTCCAGTTGAAAGTCAGGAAACAGATATCTTGGTCTGGATGTCACCATCTGCAGGGGCCTTTTATACCCCCTTGGCGGTGGGTGGGGAAACCACAGGAAGTGCAGCATCCTATTATTTCACCAATGAGCTTCAGAGAATGTCATAAAGATCTTTACTAAAACAAGGCCCTCATGACTGAAGTAATGTCTGCCAGGAATCCACCATCCAATTATGTATCTTAAAAAAGAAAATCATGTTCTATTTACAAGGCCCTGGTTCATTCTATATTTGGTTAATTGTGGACATATGACATGATTACAAGTTATGGTACTAATCATGAAAATAGATATCATATTTTCATTTTTGTTTTATTTCCATTCCTCTTCTCTCTCTCTCTCTCTCTCTCTCTCTCTCCCTCCTTCTTTACCTGTCTCTCTCTTTGTCTCTTTCTCTCTATCCCTCTTTTTCTCCTTTCTTTCCTCCCTCCAACGCTTCCATTCTTTTCATTCTCTTTCTTTCTGTCCTGCACTTTCTGAAATTCTTATCTCTAGCAAGCTACTTCTTGAGCCTTACCTATGACAAATGAGCTAGCTATGGACTATTGTTGCTAACTTTGGGCTACATATTATCAAATGTGTGTGTAGTGAAAGTTTAATCTGAACTTACTTCTTTAGTGAATGATTTCAAAGTTTCCGAAAAATAAGCAAACATTTTATGGATAATAACTCTCTAAATTTTGTACTTCTCTTTGTCACTCCACATAAATGCACTGTACATAAAATTGTGAGACTTCATGGTTTAGGTGGATGTTCAATCTACAACACTTACTTATTTTTTTAGTGTTTACATTTGAATAGACAAGGGGCACAGGAATCTACTCTGTCCACCTTGATCTTAGAACAAGTGACATCAGTAGCCATACTCAAAGGGGTAGGAACATATAGTCCTGAACAAATGTGAGAAAAAAAAGAATAATTCCTGCTGTTGAATAGCCTAATTCAAAGTTATACAAACTCTTATGAATCATTTGTTTTGGAGCATAATATTCTATAGGATAACATTCACTTTCATCCATTTCCATGTCGTCTGTAGCTACTTCGACAACAAAATGCAGAACTGAGTGTTGAGATACTGACAATAAAGCCTCCAAATCCCAAAATATTGGCTTTTTATTCTGGGAAAATAGTGCCTGTCCTCCCTTAGCTTATGCAAGATAACTTGCATGTAGACATCACTTTTCCAAAAGTTAACTTTTTACCTCCAGTTGTTCTACTACTCACTGAACTCTTATATTTTCTGACTTTGATAGATTCATTGACTTATGACTGTCTGCTGAAATATATTTTTTCTTTCCTAATGAGGTTATAGTATCCTAGAGCTATGTATTTTGTGCATATGTTATTTTTTTATTTAGGCTTTTCATGTGTTTCATGTTGTGCATATGAAAAACTCAAAAGGAATTATAATTGTTATAAACACATGATTAACTTCATTTTTATTTTAATTTCTTTACTTTTTAAAGTACTTTTTTGTCTCAATCACTTCTCTTCTTCCTAATAAATCATTTCTAATTTTGAACAGTGGAAAGAATAAATTTTCTACTATTTGTCTTGTGACTTATTATTTTCCTTATAGTTATGAACATACTTGACATTTTTCTTATGTTTTTTACTTTATTTTGTTATACCAGCATTTTTTACAGTAATCCTAGATTGTTGGCTATGTATAAATTGTCCTCAAGGTATTATTAGTTTGTTTTCCAACTCTCTTCTTTATATAGAGAAGTTTTAATGTTAGTCTTTCTATCTCTTTTACATAACCTTTATTTTATCAAAATTATGATTTCTCTTTTACACTTAATTTTTGTGTACGGAGGTATATGCTTACAGGTGATTTTATTTATTTTTTACTTCTTTCTATTACCTTTTTAATATCTTATTTTCTTAATCTACATTTGTAGTATATAAGTTTATGTTTATCTCCGAGGGTATTTGCATGTACGTGACAACGTGACTTTTTTAATCCTTTACTCCTCCCACCCAAATCCCTCCATCCATCACTAGTCTCGATGGATGGCTTTGAATGTCTTTCAACAATTTTGAAAAGACATGCAAATTTTCCTATGCCACAATGATTCTGCTTTTTTTTTTTCCTCTACTCAATTCTAAACATCTACGTGATTTTCCATTTCATGAGATCTTACACATCCTTTATACTATTCAGTATATTGTGTCCACTTTTTTTTGTGCTTCAGTTAACTACAGTTAACATATTACTGTATGTTTGTCTTTAATTCACCTAAGTTTATTGAATTTCTATTACTTTTTAAGAACTAGAATTTAAATTTGATTCTATGCTGAATTTTTCTAGTTTTATATGTATGTAGTGAATTTCCTTTAATTTTCCTATGTTTATTAATTCTATCTATTTTAATATTTCAAATTCCAATGTGTTGTTTATGTTTTAGTTAGTTTAATCAACTGTGGCTTCTATATTTTCATACAGGTTTTCATGTACTCAGCATTTTTATTGAAATAGTAGACCATCCTAAACAGTACTAGATTTCACTATATAGACTTGTGTGGTTTTTAGAAAATATGACTGTCTGAGTTTATTGAATTATTAACAATTTTACTCACTATTTTGACAACCAGAAGTTAAATGTATGTTTTACTGTATGTATTGCAAACATTTTAAATTTTTATTTATTTATTATGTCTATTGTAATATTTCTGGTTTCCTAACTGCAATATGTTATTCAGTTTTAGTTATATTTTATTAGGTTACCAAGTTTTCATACGTCCACAAAATTTCATCTATCAATGTTTTTACTAATATTATAGGGGACCCAAAATATACTGAATTTCACTATAGAATTTTGTTTTAGTCTCACCGAGGCTCTTGGAACAGGTGTGATTGTCTGGGGTGGATGTAGCGCCCTGTGCTTGTAATTCTGTTATTCTGGAAGTTGAGTTGAAAGAACACCTATGCTTAGAAGCTTCCGACACTGCCCATAGAATAACACATTTATCTACAAGAAAAAAAGAGGCAAAGAAAGAATGAACTCATTATTTGCTCGTCAGCTTGATATGGACAAAATTTCTATCTTTTAAAATATTCCAGACTCCTCTTAGGAAAAAGACCTCTGTAATTCAAGAATTTGTAAATTATCTCAGTGAGAACACTTGTTTTGTGTTAAACCCAGAATCTTGATGTTACATCATTTCTCGGATTTAAAGTTTTTATTTATTGTTACACATCTTTGCAGCCCAGAATGATCAGATTCTCTGTGGGGAGTTGGTCCATGTACACAATAAAATTTAATAAGTTTTTTTGTCCCCTGTCCTACCCCCTTCTCTCATTTCTCCAGCTATTGATCCCCTATGTAGCCAACTGTACTTTGGTAACCTTGGGTGTGCATAGAAAATTCTGCTGATTTTACTTCTCCTAGCAGCCCCTTGCCTGCCTTTCAGAATCAGGAATTTCAACCTACTTTTCCAAAATTTCTCCATCTTCAGCACATTGACCTTTTTGATCGTTACATTTTCTATCATCATTTCATTGCATCCGATGTCTCCTCCATTGGAGATTCCTAAGAAACTTAATTTCATTTAGGTTGGAGAAAATTTTATGTGGGAAAAACTCAGCATGCACGAGTACATACATTTAATAATGACCAGGCTTCTGGGCTAAAAAAATAAAAAGCTAATGTTTGTTACTGTGCATATTTCTCATGGTTTTGAAGAGAATTATTCTTGGCATGCATACTACATATCTTATTTTCTAAGTAGAGTAAATTCGTATGCCGAGACACTATATTATGTATCATGCTGGCATGCCAGAATTTCACTCTGACATTTTCAATATAACTCCCGTGATGCTTTAGGTCTAAAATGCCCCCACGAATACTCATGGACTCAGCCAGGATGTTTGAACGATACCTGGATCATGGCAGTGTGGTACTCAGCCGTATTTTCACCCACGAAGGCTTCAGCCTTGATGTGTGCTGTCAGAAGGTGGGGCTTGGTCCGATGCCGGTCCCTGGGGTCTGACCTGGCACAGTTTGTCTCTCTGCTGGCTCCACCCTTGTCTCTTTGCTTCTGGGCTGCCGTGGATGAAGAGTTTAAATTCTAACCAGGCCTCATCACCGAGCTGTTTCTGCTTTGGAAGCAGCTGACCTTGAGCCAAAATAGATCTCTTCACCTGGAAGTTGCGTCAGCAAGGAGAAATGTCCCAAACAAAGCCTATAGTCAGTCTCTGGTCAGAAAATTAAAAAAACAAAAAAAAGGAGAAGCATTTTCGGGATGCAGCTCTAGTAGACAAAGTCCAACCATTCATGTTGCAAATGACACAAAGCATGGAGGTACAATTTTAACTGAATACACATATTATTGTAGAAAGAGCTGTTTATTAAAAAATATTAAAGTGCATTAACATGCAGAAATGGATGTGAGATTAAAAGACAAATTTGTATGATCTCTGAGAAAAAATTGATTTTTTTACTCATTCATTTTAGACATCTATCTGAAAAGAGCTCCCTAACTCACTTCTACACTTAACTCATCACCTTCTTTCTTTCTGCTTTTTTTTTGTCTTTGTCACTAGTAAGAAAAAATCACACATCTGTGACTGATAACATACAAATATATGCATATATCAGCAAAGCCCATAATATGTTAGAATAATAACAAAACATGATGGGATATTGTTTATTTAATAATGTATCTTTTTATATAAAATTAAGTCAAATTTGATCATATTTTACATAGAATTAAAAAGATAATACAGAAACTTTTGTTTACATTATCACATTATCCAACTGATACTGATGAATCAAGGGGCATGTTGTAAGGTTGGTGCTTTTAGATAATTTAGTAGACAGTTGGTGTTTGAAGCAATTTTTAAAATTATCAATAGGCAAAGAAGCTGTGGAAATTCCTCAGTAGGAGCCATAGGACTAATGTTTTCTACAATACAGGGGATGGAAACAGCTGTAGCCACCATAGCTACCATAGCGACCATAGCCACCGTAGCCACCACAGCTATAACCACAGCCTAAGCCGCCATAGCCAGAGCCCAGGCCACTGTAGTAGTTGGTATAGTAGCTCATGGTGCCAGAAGTAGACAGTTCAGTTGAGGATTGGCAAGTAGCTGTCTTAAGTCTGCATGTCATTTTTTCTGCAGGGACCTCTTATACCTCCTTGGTGGTGGGTGGGGAAACCACAGAAAGTGTAGTCATTATTTGACTAAGGTGCTTCAGAGAATGTCATGATTATCTTTATTTATTGAGAAAACAATGTCCTTATAACAGATAATTTTTCTCCTATTTAGGTATTTATGGCCCTTCACAGAGAAATCCTTGTTCTGTTTTCAGTCCCCTGGGTTATTCTATATTTAGTGAATTATGTACATATGAACTGACTATACAATATGATGCAAATCATGAAAATGGGAATCTCATTTTAATTTGTTTTGTTTTAATTCCTCTGTAAGGACATTTTTTCCGTTACTTTTCTCTTCTTTCCTTTCCCCTACCTCTCTCAATTCCCCTACTCTGTTAAGCCTTTTCTTCCTATTTCACATTATCAATTATACATTTCAATCCTTATTTACACTTTTAATTTTTCATACCAGAGAAACTATTCAGCATTAACACGTGTGCCCTAGTTATTTCACTTGAGTACATCCTCAATGTGCATCCATTTAGCTATAAATATCTCTAGTTTCCCCTTCTTTATGGCTGAGAAGTACTCCATTTTATATTAAAAGGAAAAAAAATGCAGTTTCTTTATCCAGTCTTCCGTTAATGGGAAACTAGGCTGTTTCCAAATTTTAGCCATTACAAGCTGTATAGCTATAAACATGGGTGCAAAAAAGCAGGAGAAAGTATAAGTGACATAAAAACACTGTTCACAGAATTTATGGCAGAAAACTTGCCAAACAGAGTGAAAGAATTTGACATACAGATGAGTGGGGCATATAGGACTCCAACTAGCCATAATAAAAAATAAAATCTACACCTAGACATATAATAATCAAGATCCCAGAAACTCAATAGAAGAACAAAATAACACAAGCAGTTAGATAAAATAAACAAATCACATGCAAAGGAAAGCCCATCAGAATCACAGCAGACTTCTCAACACAAAACTTCAGGTTGAGGAGAGCCTGGAGTGAGGTACTTGAAGCCCTAAAAGAAAACAACAGCCAACGTAGGCTGATGTATCCTGCAAAACTGTCTTTCAAAGCTGGATGGTGAAATAAGATACTTCTACGACAAAGAACACCTAAGTAGCTTCATGAATACCAAACCAGCACTCCAAATAATTATGAACAATATCCTAGAAAAAGAAAATCATGGCCACAACTGCACAAGGCTCAACAGAGCAAATCCATCAGGCAAGGCAGGAAATTAGAGAGGGGAAAAATAAAATAAATAAAAGAGCCAACAACAGGAAAATACCACGACAATGATAAGTCAATGCATATCAGTTATCACTATCAATGCTAATGGCCTCAATTCGCCAATCACAAGAAATTGACTGGCGGAATGGATTAAGAAGCAAAATGCAACAATATGTTGTATACAAGAAACACACCCAGTTCAAAAAGAAATGCACAGACTGAAAATAAAAGGATGGAAAACAGTTCTACATGTTAATAGAGCCCAGAAAAAAGCAGGGGTAGCTATCTAATTTGTAGACAAAGTAGATTTCAAACCAAAACTAAATAAGAGAGAAAAAGAAGATCACTACATCCTTGTAAAGGGAACAATCCAAGAGGAAGAGATGCCAATTATAAATATATATGCACCAAACACTAATTCCATCCAACTATATAAAACAAATATTAATGGACATGAAACACCAAATAAGCACTAATATAATTGTGGTGGGGATCTCAATACCCCACTGTCACAAATGGACAGACCATCTTGACAAAAAATCACAATGAAATGCTAGAACTTAATCAAGCTTTTGAATGAATGGACTTAATAGATGTTTACAGAGTGTTCCATCCCACAAAATCAGAATATACATTCTTTTTGGCTGCACATATGTCATTCTCAAAAATAGACCACATGATAGCTCATAGAACATTTTTAAGCAAATGCACAAGAACTGAATTTATCTCCTGTATATTATCAGACCATAGTGCAATCAAACTGGAGATCAATAGCATAAGAAAACTGCAAGAATTCCACAAACACATGGAAATTGAATAACACTCTCCTAAACAACCAATGTGTCACAGAGGAAATTAAAGAAACTAGGTAGTTTCTACAATTAAATTAGAATGCCAATAAAATATACAGGAATCTGTGGGACACAATGAAAGCAGTTCTACTAGGGAAATTCATAGCAGTGAATGCCCACTAGGAAAACAGCAAGCTCAAACAAATAACTTAATGTTGAAACTTAAGCGCTTAGAAAAAGAAGCACAAGACAAGCCCAAAAAGCTCATACAAAGGAGGAAATTATAAAGATCACACATTCATTCATTTAAATGTAATATCAAATTGTTTTGATGCCTCAGTGGCAGAATTGAGTATTGAGACACAGACTGCAAAATGAGGAATATTATCCCCTTTGGCACAATGTTTACCTTCCCCTGACAGAAGCACAGGGACAGTGATATTAGCTGTGTGTGCACTTCGAACTGGTATTGCTAGATCATAGAAGAGGCTTAACACTTTCCAGTAATTCAACATTTTCCTCCTGTGTGTCCCCCACGCACTAAACTTTTTAAATTTATAACTTTTTTGGCTTTGTTGACTTAAGACCATCTGTCTCAGAATATGTCAGTCTTCCTTAGAACTTTAGTACCTTACGAGTTCCATATTTTTGTACAAATTTTATGATACTCTTGTTATGTACAGTATTTTCTTTATTTTAATACTTCAAGAGCAGTTATGATTTTTAGGTGCAAAATTGACACTCATTTCTATTTTCATTAATTTCGTTATTTTTGAATATTCATGTTTTTGGCTCAATTGCTTTCCTCTTTCCTAAATGAATCTAATATTTCTTACTGTGAATAATTAGAAAATAACTTTTTTCTTGTTTTTCTTATAACTTTTATTTTTATTTTCTTTACGTAGTTTTATATGTTATTAATGTTTTTATATAAATTCATTATATGGGCTGTTTTGAATGTATAAAATTCTAGATAGGTATTTTTTTTTTTTTTTTTTTTTTTTTTTTGGTACCGGGGATTAAACTCAGGTCCTTACACTTGCGAAGCAGGTGGTGGAACCACTGAGCTAAATCCCCGGCCTCTAGATAGGTAGTTATGAATAGTCACTACCTCACATGTTATCACTTTGTCCTCCAGCTCTTTCTGTTTCTGTTGAGTTTTGTTATCAGATTTATCATTCCTCTTGGTAGATAACATATTGGTTTTGTCTACCTAAATTAAGATTTCAGCTTTGCAGTTAATTTCTACCTACTGAGTTATGCCCAAATGTGATTTTAATTGATACTCTGCCTCTTGGCAATAACTGGCTTTGACAATTTGTGGATGGATGCCTTTCAATGGTTTTGAAATATCATGTAATATTTTACCATTCAAAGTGGTTTCTGGTTTACTTTCTTCCTTTACTGGGTTTCGCTTACAGCTATGATTTTCCATTCCATGAGATCTGGCACATTCTTTTGTATTCTCTTCAATATTTTATATTTCAATTTTTCTCATTTTGATATTTGCTTAAATTGATATTAAGTTGATATTTGCTTAAACTGATATTTTATGTTTGGTTCAGTTTAATAATTGACCTACATTCATTGAGCTCATAACTATAATTACCACATTTCTGAGAACTAGATTTTAAGTTTGTTTCTATGGGGGAAATTTCACACACACACACACACACACACACACACATGGTAAATTTGTTTTAATTATCCTATATTTATGAATTAGGTCTATACTAAAATTTCTGTTTGTCAAACTCCAATATGTTGTTCATGTTGTAGTTAGCTGTTATTTTCTTTTATTCATTTTGTATAGTTCCACTGGGATTTACATTCTCAACCTTTTTATTAGATTGTGGTGGATCTAAAACAGTTTAGATATTTTTGTGGTTGCTCCTACCCTTTTAAAAAAATGTGGGCTTGTCTGTGCTGGGTTTGGTGGCTCTTGATTACTCTGGAGACAAAGGTTGGAGGATCACTTGAGCTCAGAAGTTTTAGTCCATCCTGTACAGAATAATAAGATCCAGTTCTCTTGTGTGTCTTCCTTACTCTGTCTTTACTGATAACATAACAACCAGACCCATCTGATTAATCAGAAATATGGTAATATATCAGTAATGTAATATAACTATGACAAAACATTATTTGTGATGAAATATTTTATTTAATAGTATACACTCTTTTAGAAAAATTGAGAGTAAATCTTGATAATATTTTATGTAGCATTACATTTTTTTAAGAGCAGAAAAAATTTATTGAAGGAGAGAAAGCTTCTGTCTAAGGGAGACAGAAGGGGGACCAGAAAGTGGGTTGCCCGCTCATCCCACTTTTCAAATATGTTTTATACAGCAAAGCTACGTGGTGAGGTGGGTACAAAGTGGGACAAAACTGTAAGACCCAGTGGAAAATTACAAGGTGGGCATGAGGTGGGGCAAAACCATGACCAACCAGTAAGATTACAAGTACAGTCACCAAGGTGATATTGATTAAACAGGCATCAAATGGGGGAACAAGTCACATAGCAAGCATATAAGGATTTTCAGTAAGGGTGGGGGTCAGGGATATTTCCTGGAAAGCCTGGATTAAGACCTTGGCCCCCCACCCAGGTGAATGATACCTATTTAGAATATCAGTCACTGCTATTTATCCCCAGGGGAAGCACAAGGATAAAGTAGTTTCCTTCTTTTACAATTATGGCCTTCAGTGAATGTGTCTTGATTGTCTACCATGTTGGCTCCTTGCTGTGTTGGCTCCTTGAAGGTGACCCTATCTAACTGCCTATGAGATATCTAATAGCTTACATATCTGTAATTTTCCTCCCTCTGAAGAAGTACCCCTAACTCCTCAGAGAAGGCAAAGTGCAGCATTAACATTTTAATAGAATTTTTTTCTGCAAATTATTACATAAAACCCTTGA